TAGGGTTTAGCGTTTAGGGTTCAGCGGATCTCTGGCGTTTGTGATAGGTATGTCGTTGATAAAAATGTAACACCTTCTAAAAGCGTCTTCATGACATGTGCGAAAGATTAACACCATATTATACGTGCAGATCGTTGTAGATCCATATCTAAGATTATCTGTGTGTGTATATTTATACACACATTTGTACATATCTAACACATATAAACATACACGTACATCTGCTTATGTAAATACGTATATAAACATCCATACAGAGAGATACATCTTGAAATGTCTGTGTTAATCAACACACAGGTAGTAAGTAAGTAAGTAAGTAAGTAAGTAAGTAAGTAAGTAAGTAAGTAAGTAAGTAGGTAAGTAAGTAAGCAAGCAAGTAAAAACGGACAAGCCGTTACACCCAACAAGATCTGTATTGTGCAGATGTAGATACATTTGTAATGATACAACGAAGATACGCATAAAATGCATGTATAATGAATGAATAAGCAAACCAAGGAATAAGTAATTAAGTAAAACACTTCTAGGTTTACATATGTGCGCATACTATCACACATAGGTGTATGTTCTTAGTGTACTCCATGACTCGCACATGTTGGTCTCAACTTAACTGGGGGGCTCAATAATTAGAATTGGGTTTGGGGGTATATGATACTATAAGCATAATAAGGAGCCCCCAAAACAAAATAGGTAATTATTAAGGCCTCTATAGTATCGCCTTCGCCGGCGGGCAAACTCTGCTTGGTGCCGGGAGCCCAAGCGTGTCTGAGCTGTCCATGAAGTCTTCCACGGAGATCCGGAGGGTGAGTCTCAAATAAAATCCTGGGTAGTTTGGAGCTTTATTAGGGTTCCTACTCTCAGGGGTTCTGAAAGGGCTTCAAAGGACTCAAGATGGCGGAAGGGTTGAGGGCCAGGGTTGGGATAGTAGTCGTTGCTTTTATTCGGGGCTGTGGGCTTCGGGCTTCTTGGGCCGAGGCTTCAGAAGTGTAGAGAGTCTCAACTAGCATCCCGGGCAGCCCGTTTTTTGGGGCTTGGGGTCTAGGGCTTAGGACTAGAATGGGTTGAGGCTCAATGAGACATGAAGGGTAGATGTTGGCTTTTTGGGGTTAGGGTACAGGGTTACTGCAGACGGCTTAACATTCAACAAACTGCTAGGGTCTTCGAGCAAGACCGTGGGTGGTCGGTTTCAGACCAAAAGCAAAGTTAAATGGGAGTCCTTTGTGAGAACTCCTCGGGTTTCGAGACTGAAACTGCGTGGAGCAGGGCATCTTTTGTGGAAGCCTGAGCGTTTTTGTGCCTGGGGTTCAACTCCAACCTTTATAGGTTTTCGGTCCTCGGTTTAATGTTTAGGGGCCTTGCCTTAATAGCTAGAATAGGGTTTGGGGGTATGTTATACTATAGCTATAATAAGGAACCCCCAGCATGGTATAGGTAATTATTTAGGCCCCTATATTTGGGTTTGCGGCTTCCGGTGGGGAGTGTTCGAAACTGAAATCTGTGCCCTCGATTTCAGTAACCCTAAACCCTAAACCCTAAAAGCTCTTCACGAATTCCTGAAAGGGAAATCCTAGACTTTTTTCAGAGACCAAAGACCTCCTAAAGCGTTGTCAAACCGAAGCCTTATAACTCCTCAGACCTAATATAGGGGCCTTAATGATTTCAATAGGGTTTTGGGGCCCCTTATCCTATAACTATAATAAGGGACACCACCAAAAAAAACAAAAATAGTATAGCTAATTGTTTAGGCCCCTACAGTCTTAGACCTGAGCCTGCGGAATCCCGGGACCCCTAGCCCAACAAGCCCCCCCAAATCCTCAAGCCCGAAGGCCCCAAACAATACCGCTAAGAACCCCCCCCATATATCCCAAAACTAGTCTACTTTGGCCCTAAAGTACCCACCCAGGGACTACTGTAAGGCCAAAGTATGTACCAGTTGGGCACAAGGAACCCTTAAGGAAACCCTAAAACCCTAAACC